AATTGCAAAACATGAGTACTAGACGAATCAACACGGGGTAAAGGGAATCGGGAGGATTTCCCTAACTGACAAGCAGAACATATATCTGACACATTATTTTGACTAAACGAACTAACACCAGACAATTGCAACACTTGACGCAAAACACGTGCGTGTGGATGGCCAAGCCGCAAGTGCCAGATAGACGAAGACGCACGCGCAACAAACGCAGTAGGCGCAGAACTCGATGACGGCCAAGAATACAACCCCCCGAAAGCATGCCCCTTAAAAAGAACCTCCCTGGTCAAACGATCCTTCACAAAAAAAACGACGGATGAAATTCAAAAAAGACGTTATTATCTTTAGCGAATTTCTGAACAGACAACAACGAGGACGAAAGACCGGGGACATGCAACACATTATTTAACGAAAATAATCTAGAAGGCGAAGCTATCGAAGTGGAACCAACACTAAATATGGGCAAACCTGTACCGTTGCCGACCCGCAGAGTGTCAGAACCATCATACGGAGTAGCCGAAGAGAGCACGGATGCATCCGGAGTAACATGGTTCGTAGCCCCGGTGTCCGGGAACCATTGGTGCGGCCCATCCGAACCACCATCACCGGCCGAATAGGCCATATGCGCCTGCGGACTCGGGTTCGACGCGTACTGGCTCAGGCGAAAGCAGGAAAGAGCAGAATGGCCTTGACTATTGCAAAGTTGACACCGCACAGTCTGGTTGCGTCCTCTGCCACGCCCACGGCCGTGACGACCACGACCGCCACCACCGGAGTCACTGTTGCCGCGCGACTGGCCGCCAGTTCCCCGACCACCGCGACCTCGCCTCGCCGCCATAGCCACTGGAACACCACCGTCATCAGCACAAATAAATTCATGCGACACCAAATAATCGGATAGCTCCGTCAAGGTGACTGGAGCACCACGGGTCAATGGAGCAACCAAGGGACGGAGCTCTGGCCTCAGACCACGGAACACGTACAGGTTCTGGTCGTCGAGTGTGACCGGCCGTCCAGCAAGAGCAAGATCCTCCACCAATATTTGAGCTCGGCTAAGGTAATCGGCTACAGACGCCCCTCCTTGCCGGAGCCCTTGAAGCTCGCCCAACAGTCGTAGCGCCCGAGAACGAGTAGCGGAGCCTAGGGACTGTTCGACAACCAACCACAATTGCCGAGAAGAGGTCCGGCCAACGGCCAGAGGAAGCGTCTCCTCGGACAGAGACGATATCAGAAGAGATAATATGGCCTGGTCTTGCCGGCGCCACATCTGTTGAACGGAAAGAGAGGGGACAGGACCACCGGCGCTGTCTGCCGTCGAAGCCACCGACGTCGCCGCCGTCGGACACGGCAGGGACCCATCAACGTAACCAAGAAGCCCCTGACCATCCAAGAACGGAATCATCTGCGTTCGCCAGAATAAATAATTCCGGGACGTAAGTTTCAACGAAACAAAGTGGTGCGCAGAAGATAAGTTTGAATGGGATGAAACGAGGGTAGGAGCAGGCTCAGTAGCAGTCCGTTCGGTAGAATCACGAACAGAACCATCATCATTGAGACCTGCCATGGAGAGAACCTGGACAAAACTGATACCAGATGAGGATTAGATTAATGGAAGTTGCATAACAAAAGGTCTGTACAACATAGATATAGAAGTAAGTAGAAGAGTCCTAGTAGACTATAACAAGTAGTCCTAACAGAAATGATGAATTCATACAGATAAATAGGTTATTATTGGTATGAAATTACAAAAATAAATACTCCGTAGTTACTTTCATTATTTAAATAAAAAAAATTGATAGTAAAAGGATTTTAGAGCAAATACAAGTGATAAAGTAGTGCAAAACAATAAAAATCTATTTCTACAACATTCAACCAAAATATAGTATATAGTTATATATGTTGAGCATGTAATATATAATTAATAAATGTTAATCTAATTATTAATTTAATATATTAGTTGAGGAACCTAAAGAAATAATGTTTATGTTTCATGTGTAACCTATTTTTAATTAGTTCATATATGTGAAATGATGTGTAGTTTTAAGTGTCTAAATCTCAATTTAAACTTTATAATTAAAGCGAAATATATCTCTTTTAATTATATACCTAAAAGTTGAGAATACTTTACTCAATTCACTATTGAAAGAGTGTTGGTAAATATTAAATTCATGATATTTTAATAATAAAATTACACTCCACCACAAAAAAATTATTTTGTGGACCCGGTCGACCTATGTCCAAATATACCCAATTTACATACTAAATATTCACATTTTACCTTTTAAAAATTTACAATTTGTGATGACCCTGTATTATATTCACAAATTTTTAAAATTTAATAACACAATTTATATTCTAGAAGTTCACGATTTTAATACTAAATACACAATTTAAGACCAAGATCTACCATTCAAGGTGGACCCTGATCAAAGGTATAACAACTGCTCCACCACTCAAACTCTACTTTTGAACTTTTGAACTTTTGAAGTATGAATTTTTTTTTTTTTTTAAACAAGGAATAGTTTAATCTTGAACTTTTGGACTTCCATTTGGAAGGTTGTAAGTTCGAGCCTTAGTGGAGGCGCGTTATTAGCTCTTTGTGTTTCAGTAGGTTGAGAAAGTATACGAACAGATACTACAATATAATAGAGCTAGTAGCATTCAAAAAAAAAAAATCTTTAGCTGCTAATATAATAAAAGAAAATAAAATGGAAACTAGAATAGGTTATTAGATTCGAATAATTAAAGAAAGGTGGTCCATTGTAAACATAATAATAATAAAAAATAAATAAAGGCCCCATCTCTCATAACTTCGATGCATGCACTGCACGCAGAACACAAATGGATATATGTATATATAAATGTGAAGACACACACTTGCATTCTACTTTTCATGGGTTTCTAAAATGTTGAAATTCAACATTTGTCTCCTTCCTCGTAGACAACGTGCACCACTCATGCTCTCTACCAACGATGTGATATGTTTTTTGTGCTTGTGTGCGTTGTGACTTCTCAAAATTTAAGGTCATGTACTATACCGCCATATATATATATATATATATATATATATATATATATATATATATATAAGGAAGGGATCAGGTGCATTTGTGGCTTCCCGTGCGGTTGTGCGGTAGATTAATGTGCGTGAGGTTTATACTTAATGTGCGTGAGTGTTATGCTTAATGTGCCCAAAATTTGTACTTAATGTGCGTAATGTTAATATGCGTGAGTTTTGTACTTAATGTGCCTGAGTATTATGCTTATTATGCGTGAGATTTGTGCTTAATGTGCGTGAGTAGTTCAGAATTATGAGCTCAGAAGGAAGCAGAACAGAAAACTCACGCACATTAACGCCCAAGCTTCTTGTTACTTCTTCCTTCAATTTGGCCATGGATTCTGGATTATCAGCTACCTTCAGTGTAGTTGAATGTTTATATATATGACGCACGCACAGCAAAATTTGCACACCAGCTAAGTGTGGATTTCTGCTGTATTATTCCCATAATTCTTAACCACCATAGCCCGCCTCCGCATCATCATCATCAGGGAGGGGGCAATGGCTACTGGGGATGGGGAAGAAGCTGACATCCATATTTTCTGCTGCATTTTACACATTCACGCACACTAAGTACAAATCTCAGGCACATTAAGCACAACACTCACGCACATTGAGTACAAATCTCACACATATTAATCAACCGCACATCTGCACGGGAAGCATTCAACCGCACGGGAACCTTTCAAAATATATATATATATATATATATATATATATATATATTAATAATCAAATGAGAACTCCTCTTCTCGTATGATTATGGAAATCAACATAAATGCACACAAAGTGTGTAAGAGGTAGATTGTGTGCATTCTGCATGGCAATATGAGATTGTATACATTTATATTGACGCTTGAGAACATTTATGTACAAGTTCGCAGGTTCTCATTGAAAATCACCATACAGTGTTCGGAAATACACCATTGGGGGTGGTGAGTTATATGGTGTATTTTTTTTGGGTCTGTTGTGTATTTTTTGATGTTTTATTGCATTTCATTGTGGTGTGTTTTCCTTACACTGTTGGTGCATATTGTTAACAGTGTTGGTGTATTCTGAAATTCCACCGCACCACCGCATGCAGGGACGGAGGGAGAGGGGGGGCAGCTGTCCCCCCTGCCAAAAATGATACAGCCCCAAAACGACGTCGTTTTGGAGCTGTATATATATATATATATATATATATATATATATATATATATATTTTTTTTTTTTTTTTTAATTTTTTTTTCTTATTTTACCTATTCGGTTTTAAAGTAGCAGACAGATCGTGCGTCTCTGACTCTTTGCCGCAGCGCCGCTATCAGCTTCCGGCGCATCTCCGTCCCGGCCTACCGGCTTCCGGCAACACGCCAACACCGCCTCTCAGTGCCCCTCGTGACCGGAAACTCGTCTCTTCAGTCCTCCAAGTGCTCACTACTCAGGTTCTTATTTTTTCCCTAATTTCTCTAATTTTCCTAATTACTCAAATTTTATTTTAATTAATTTAATGTATGTGTTTTGTTGAATACTTGAATACATGAATTTCAGAATTTGTTTATTAGTTTATGAATTATCAATTAATCAATTATGAATTTATGATTTATGAATGTGAGTTGGGTAGGTTTAGTGTTCCTAATTTTTCTAAAGACAGTGAATGGCCGAATGGCCTAATTTTCAATTGGTGTTACTTGAAATCTTGAATACATTTATACTTGAATACTTGCTAATTTTCAATTGTTGAATGGCAGTGAATAGATTATATTGGTGTTTGCTAATTTTTCTAATTTTGTTTCCCCACTCTAGTGTTCCTAAATTTTCTAAGGACAGTTTTGAATGGCAGTGAATAGATTATATTGGTGTTTGCTAATTTTTCTAATTTTGTTTCCCCACTCTAGTGTTCCTAAATTTTCTAAGGACAGTGAATAACAGAATGATGCAGTGAACTTTGTTTTGCTAATAAGAGTATTACCCTGTAGTTTATCATAAACTTTGTTTTGTAATTTATAATGTATTTTGTATTTTAAGAATTGTATTTTTATTTAATATTTTGTATTTGGACCTTCTATTTGAACATTTTTGAACTTATTTTACGTTTGCTTCTTCACCCCCCTCACTAAAAATCCTGGCTCCGTCCCTGACCGCACGGGAAGACCCCGCCGCATTTGAACTTTTTCCTCTCTCTCTCTCTCTCTCTCTCTCTCTCTCTCTCTCTATATATATATATATATATATATATATATATATATATATATATATATATATATATATATATATATATATATATATATATGGTAGGGAATACCCCGACCCCAGTGCCTTGGTCCTTTTCTTCTTGTCTTTGCAGGTTACAGGTCGGGTTTCTTGTGAAAAACCCGGTCGGGAACCGACCGGGTAGTACCCGATTGGCGTTGCCGACCACCGAGCGGTAGCCCTTTAGCGAGAGAGCTGGTGAGAAACAAGTGGCAACTCTACACGTTGACAGGCAGGGCACCCGGGAAGGCGACACGTGGTTGCTACGTGAGAGGCATGCCGGACGGCCGGATTTGTGTCTCCGGCTCCGCGGCTATAAATACCCGTGATAGCGACAGTGTGAGGGACTTTTGGACGATCGATAGGTTGTTGTTAGAGAATCCCGACCGCAGTCAGTCGGTACTCAGAGTAACCAGTTAGATTGTACTTAGGGCCTTCTCTGTGATCAATAAGAGTTATTTATTTGCTTTAATTCGTCTCGTGTTTATTTAATTACCGCATTATGTGGCAATTAATACTATAATTTTGGCGCCGTCCGTGGGGCCCCGTGCAAGAAAGCTAACGTCTTGACGAGCACCCTGTTTCTTGGCAATCATGTATCCGTGGGCACAAAACCTCTTCGCCGACGATCAAGCGGATGCGGCAAGTTCATCCGACCACCATCCGAGCCAGCAGCAAGGTCAAATAATGGACCTTAATCTCAATCTCTCACCACCCCATCCGTCAAATACATACCCGGCCGCCCAACAGCCGGTGAACTACATTCAATCGGGATACCCAACACCCGGTCAGCAATACCAGCAGCAGCAGATGCCATATCCCGGCCAATATCCATACCCGGTCCCACCTCAACCGTACGGGTACTGGCCCGGTCAACCGGTGTATTACACACCACCGGTTCGCTACCCACCCTATACGCCTGCGTACACGGCTCCAGCCGCCGCCCCTCCAGTGTACCCGACCGCACAGGTAGAGCCGCAGCATCAGCCCACTTCCCGGGCTCGACGCTCGGCTCGTTCGCGGTTGGGGTCGGGGGGTGCTGATGCGATGGAGGCATCATGGCAGGCCCAACAAGCACCGGAGGCTCCAGCCCAAGTGGAAGACCCCGAGGAAGTCAATCGGGCAGTGGCTTTTGATCGTCTCCGACCGGCGTTGCGACAACGCTTGGGACCCCAAGACCCGAGCTGGCAACCGGGAGACGTGCAGATGCAGGAAGCCAGCCAGGAGGCCTCGTCCGGGCATAGCGGGTCGAGATCTCACCGTCGACGACGCGCTCGGGAGTCAGCCCAAGCCGCTCAGACGGCCGAGCTCAACGAGACCCGAGGATTGCTCTACAACCTCCAGGCGGAGTTCGCTCGGTTCTGAAACGAGCACCCAGTGACACCCCCGATCGACCAGTCGTTCTTGTTGAGGACACCTTTTACAGCGGAGGTAATGGCTCAGCCATACCCCCTCGACTTGAAGGTCTCCGGGGAGAAAAGTTATGATGGCCGTACGGACCCTGAGGTCCACGTCAACGATTTTTACGGCAACATGATGATGAAGGGCGTATCAGACGCCGTGATGTGTAGGGCTTTCTATTCCACGCTCACCGGTCAGGCGGCAGAATGGTTCCGAACTTTGCAGCCGGGCTCAATTGCTGATTTTAACGCCCTGGCGATCAAAAAGTTATGATGGCCGTACGGACCCTGAGGTCCACGTCAACGATTTTTACGGCAACATGATGATGAAGGGCGTATCAGACGCCGTGATGTGTAGGGCTTTCTATTCCACGCTCACCGGTCGGGCGGCGGAATGGTTCCGAACTTTGCAGCCGGGCTCAATTGCTGATTTTAACACCCTGGCGATCAAGTTCTTGAGGAAGTTCATCACCTCCAAGGTGGTGAGGAAGCCCTACATGTACTTGGAGAAGGCCAAGCAACTCGAAGGGGAGAGCTTGACTGATTTCCTCGTCAAGTGGAAGGCAGCGGTCGGGGAAGTCGAGCCAATGGACGACGCCACGGCCACCCACATGCTCCACATTTCTCTCCGGGCGGGTACCTCTATCAGGATTTCATCCTTCACCCCCCGGCCACGTACGAAGAGGCCCTCCGAAGGGTCACAAATTATGCCAACGCTGGCGAGGCGAACGCCATGAAAGGCTCGCAGGAGGTCGGGTCTTCGTCCCGTAAACCGGCCGGCCGGGCGGAACATCGATCGGGTGACGACCATCCCCGATCCCGCACCAGGCCTGGTGAGTTTACGGCCCTGAACCGATCTGCAGCGGAGGCCATGCAGTACGCCCAGTCCTGCAATCTCATCAAACTTCCCCATCCCGATCAAGACGGCCCTGACAAGAGTAAGCATTGTGATTACCATCGATGTGTCGGGCATGACACTGAAGAGTGTACCCACTTGTGCCAATTGTTTGAAGATCTGCTCAATCTTGGGAAATTGGACAAGTGTGTGGGGAAGAGAGAAGAAACAAAGAAGAATACCGATCGGAGAGATCACCGACGCTCTCATCATCGTTCCGATCGCTCTGATCGTGACGGACGCTCCGATCGGTCAGGTCAGGACCGAAGAGATGATCGAAGAGATGATCGTCGAGATGACCGACGGGACCTTGACCCCCCATCAAGTAGCCGACCGACGGGAAAGCCGACCATCCATGTAATTTTTGGTGGATTGGAGGACGCTTCCCGACCGAGGGATAATTGCTCGGTCGCTATAGTAGACTCCCAAGACACCAGGAAGAGGCAAAAGATGGAACCCATAACCTTCACCCTCGAGGATCAACCTAGCAGCGGTGACCACGGCATGGAGGCACTCGTGGTTACCATCGACGTGAAAGGGACGGACGTCCAGAGGGTTATGGTAGACGCTGGGAGCAGTGTCAACGTCCTTTATCTGGACGTGTTTGAAAAGCTTGGGCTCGACAGGAAGGAGCTGACTCCGTTCGGTGTACCATTGTCGGGATTTACCGGGGCTTTTATCTACCCCGAGGGAAAAATAATGCTCCTGGTTGAGATCGGCGCCCCACCAAAGTCGATCAAGACTGAGTTGGAATTCGTTGTGGTCAATTTGCATTGTGTCCACAACATAATCTTGGGCCGACCCGCAATCATGAAGATCGGTGGGATTATTTCGATGCCTCATCTTTGCATGAAATTTCCTACCCCCAACGGGGTCGGTGTGGTCCGTGGCGATGTCCAATCCGCCCGGAAGTGTTACACCCGAGCGGTCAATAGACGTGACTCCGGTTTGTCTTCCCGGGTGAACACGATCGCCAAGGAGGAGTCTAAAGACCGGAAGGAACAACCCGAGCCTTCCGAGGAAATCGAAGAAGTTCCGCAGTCTGAGGACCGACCGGATAGGAAGATAAAGATAGGCCGGGCCCTTACCCCCGAGCTCCGAGCGGAAGTTCTGGCAATACTCCGGGAGTTTGCCGACATCTTTGCCTGGGGGCCCGAAGATATGCCCGGGATTGACCGATCGGTTATTTGTCACAAATTGGCCGTCGATCCCGCAGCAAAGCCGGTCGTGCAGAAGACCCGGCATCTTTCATCCGATCGCCGTGAGTTCGTCAGAGAAGAGGTCAAGAAAATGGCGGCGATTGAGCACATCCGACCGGTGATCTATCCCGAGTGGGTGGCCAATATAGTCCTTGTTCCTAAGCCCCCAGCTTGGAGGATGTGCATTGACTTCACCGACCTCAATAAGGCCTGTCCGCTCGACCCGTACCCGCTACCGAGCATCCACCAGATGGTCGACAAGACGGCCGGGGCCGAGTTGATGAGCTTCATAGATGCATTTAAAGGGTACCATCAAATAATGATGCACCATGAGGATGAGAGCAAAACAGCCTTCGTGACCCCGGACGGGCTGTATTGCTACCGAGTGATGCCGTTCGGCCTTCGCAATGCGGGAGCGACCTATCAGAGGATGGTCAATATGCTCTTCGCCGATCTGCTAGGCCGAACGATGGAGGCATATATTGATGATATGCTGGTCAAGAGTCGAGACCGATCCGACCACACTCGGGATCTCCGGGAGTGCTTCCAGATCATGAGGAAGTACCAGTTGAGGCAGAACCAAACCAAGTGCACATTTGCGGTTCAGACCGGGAAGTTCCTCGGCTACATGATGACCAAGAAGGGAATCGAGCCCAACCCGGCCAAGGTCAAGGCAATTCTGTACATGCAACCACTTTCTACCGTTCGGGAAGTCCAGCAATTGACCGGTCGGTTGGCAGCTCTCAGCCGGTTCCTCTCCAAATTAGCCGAGCGCGCTTTACCTTTCTTCAAGGTATTGCGTAAAGTCAATGGTTTCGTCTGGGACGACGAGTGCCGAGTGGCTTTCGACGAGCTAAAGGAATATCTCATGTCACCAATCGTGCTATCGAAGCCTGAGCTCGGGGAAGAGCTAGATGTGTACCTCGCCGTGTCCGATCGAGCAGTAAGCGCAGTATTGTGCCGAACCGATCTGGAAGGGGTCCAGCGACCAGTGTACTATGTAAGCCATGCGCTACATGGTCCGAGCTCCGGTACTCCCGGCTAGAGAAGGTCGTCTACGCTTTATACATTGCCGCGAAGAAGCTAGCTCCCTATTTCCAGGGTCAAGCGATTCGCGTTTTGACCGATCAGCCGATCGGGCCAGTCCTCCGAACTGCTTCATCGTCCGGTCGTCTAGTCAAGTGGGCGTTAATGCTGACCCAGTATGCGATCGAATACCGACCAAGACCAGCCATCAAAGGTCAAGCCCTTGCAGATTTCTTAGTCGAGTGCACCACCCGGGATACCCGACCCCCCG